AAAAAAAAAAAAAAAAAAAAAAAAAAAAAAAAAAAAAGAATTCTGAGATGAAAACAGCCGAGCATTAAACCAGGCACGGGGCCCTGTGAGGCTAGACTTGTTTTTGGCCCAGGAAGCCAGCGAGGACCCTCATGTGGGTCACAGTTGTGGATGGTGGCCCAGTTAGGGCAGAACTAATCCTTTAAACAAGTGGGCTGGGGAAGTGCCCTCGGATCCCTGTTTGTGATTTATATCTTTGGAACATGCTGGAGGCTGCCGTTTCCTTTCCAGGCCTCCACCCTCCTGCTTTAAATCATTTACATTTTTTAAAAGTCAGCTTAGGTCATTCACTAACAGGTTCTAGGGGTTTTTAAAGGTTCAGAAGAAAAGAACAAAGGAAAGGAGTAGAGGTGGATGTTGTCCATTTCGTCTGAGGTCTGGAACAGATTGGAAAGCACAAAGCCTCTAGGAGTTCTGAGGCCCGTTTAGAGACGCTCACCAGCTGCTCCGGGTACGATTATTTTTATGCCCAAACTGAGCAGATAGGTTGGGACAGAGGAGGGAGTGGCCTAGTGACCAGGGACCCAGGGCTCTCAGGGTTGGAGAGGAGGGGGAGGGGGAGAAGGGGCCACGTGCAGGTGCCATGTGACTCCACAGTTTGGAGTGGGCTTTGCACACACAGAGGCTTAGGGAAGCCAGGAATTTTATTCCAGAAGAAAGAAACTCCTCTGTCTGTGGGCAGAGAGGGTGAGACAGGAAGTTAGAACCAGGAGCCCTGGGAGAGAATGAAATACCCAGAAGGCAGTTTGCACTTTCAGACAGCTCTGAGCACGTCGCTGAGGGCTTTTAAGTTGCTGGAAACCGAAAGTTCCAAGCAAGTTCTAGGAAGCAGGTACTGGTACCGTGAACTGGAGGAGGGTGGAAGGAAGCCCACCCGCCCCCTTTTTTTTTTAACATCTTTTTTGGAGTATCATTGCTTTACAATGGTGTGTTAGTTGCTGCTGTATCACAAAGTGAATCAGCTGTACATACACATATATCCCCATATCCCCTCCCTCTTGCGTCTCCCGCCTTCCACCCTCCCTATCCCACCCCTCTAGGGGGTCACAAAGCACCGAGCTGATGTCCCTGTGCTATGCGGCTGCTTCCCACTAGCTGTCTATTTTACATTTGGTAGTGTTTATATGTCCATGCAGCTCTCTCCCTTCGTCCCAGCTTACCCTTCCCCCTCCCCGTGTCCTCAAGTCCATTCTCTACGTCTGCATCTTTATTCCTGTCCTGCCTCTACCACCCCCCCTCCCTTTTTAATGTAGAAAGAAAAACTGGGTTAGAAAGAAACA